GCCTGTTTGTATTTCCAAGTATAATATGTTCATGAAGGGAGTTGATAGAGCCGATCAATACTTGGCTTATTATTCTCTTCCTCGGAAAACAGTAAAGGGGACAAAGAAAATTGCCTTGTGGCTTATAAATTGTGCCATTTTCAATTCATTTTTTTTTTTCAAAAATCTAAAAGCTCATTCAAAATTGAAATACAAGGCATTTCTGCTGAATGTGGCAAAAGCCTGGGCTACAGACCAGATGGTGGCGGCAGAACCGACGGCAGATACAGACTTAGTTTGACCGGGTCCATCAACTCCCACCCCATACAGGCCTCTTGCGGAACCCCCTGGGCAACTCTCGGGTGATATGTGGGAACATACCCTCGTGAAAATTGTGAAGAGTGAACATGCCAAGGGGAAGCAGCCTTCTAGGTGATGCCGTGTTTGCGTAGTACACAACAAAAGGAGTATGAGTGTCTACATGTGCAAGTTCTGTGTAATGCCACTTCACAAAGGGGAATGTTTCCAGAAATATCACACTCTCAAGCACTTCTAGGAGCATTGGTAAGTGTTCTCCAAAAATTTTAGGTCATAAAATTGATTAGGAGATTTTATATTAATTTTTGAAGTGAACAGTGCACAAGCTAGGGTAGTAGGTTTAAAAATGCTGGTCCCCAGGGTGATTTAAATATTTAAATCGCCGGTCTGCAGAGTGTTAAGTTGTAAATAAATGCTACCCATTTTTTTTTTTAATTTTATGTTTCTGCTATCTTTTTATTTCATATGAGGAACACCTGTCATTCTCACATTCATTATGGGGACAAGAATTTATGTATTATTTTCATTTCAGGTAATTCTTATGACATTTGGTCATGACCCACCCTCACTCCTACAGCCTGAAGTTATAATTAACTTATGGAAGACAGCCCTATTTCTTGAGAACTGCTTCATTATGATTAATCCACTCACCTGAGCAGACTCTTCCTGGGAATAGGGGGTTCTCTGAGAGGTCTGTGTATCCATCCTGGCAACTGCATGTGTATGTGCCACGAAGATTAAAACACTGAGCATGTTCAGAACAGTCATGGAACTGGCGGCTCTCACATTCATCAAAGTCTGCATGCAGAACCGTGAATTTCAGGTATTAATTACATTCAACTTGTTGGTCTTAATGATCTTACATATTTCAGTGTACTTGACATGAAGTTTTATGCATTAGAAAACTCAAGAGTACAATAAGGATCCTTATTGAAGAATTAGATGCAAATATTTAGATGCAATTCAATAACTGATACTAGTATCATTGTATGCCTGATGATGACCCACTATAAGGGTCGAAACATGTATCGTCAATAAAAACAAATGTTGATACAGTGGTGTTTACTTTGTTTTTAAATACAGAATATTGTTGTGTATACTGCCATACTTTTGTACCTTTTATATACCCTATTAATAACACATAAGAGGATGCATACTGTTAAGAATGAAGGTTTTACAGCACCCACCTTCAGCTTTGATGTGGTGTATGAGGTCTTTATTAGCAAACACCTCGGTACTGCCCAGACTGTAATTACTGGTCCGTAGTGACTTCCTGAACACATCCTGTAGCCGTGCTTCCTCCACATTGTCTGATAACTGCAACAATATTGCACATTTTTATTTTAATGATACCCACTTAGTTCAATCTAAACAAAATTATAATGAATTCTTCATTTAACATGTTTTAGTCCAAACGGTTCATTATAAAAGGCTAATTCCTTGATATATGAGAATATTGCCATGAAATATGTATGACTGTAGATGGGGTTTGGATTGGTGAATGTATTTATTGGCCACTTATACACCCAACTTGAAATGCCAATCAATTACATTGCCACCGCTAATCTCCACAATTCACAAATTGCAACACCACCCACTAAGCTTTTTCAGCCTGCTGTGTCTATACCAGCCGTTCCCTGGCAGTGGCTTCCAACAATGGAGATTCTTCAGCTTCACACACTCAAGTCCTCTCTTCACAGACTTCCATATAGAACTGAGTAAGCTTTCAAAGTCAAAGTCAAAGTCACCTTGTGACTGATGGTCAGTCAGCGAGTCAGTCAGTCTGTTTTGGTGTTGAGCTCTTATTTTGGGCTCATGACCAGGTATTAATTTCTGTTTGACAGTTATTTTCCTGTCCATGTGGAGCACCTTCTCTGATGAGAGGACGGGTCTGTCGTTTGTTTCTTGTCAGGATATATAATATATTTACATTTTACATGTTACATATGTTATTGACTGTATATATATATATATATATATACAGTCAATAACATAGTCAATTCAATTCAATTCACTATACAAGGCCACTGTCAGTCCAGGCTCAGTACAGCAGATCGTGCCCTTCACTAAGCTTTAACATTGTCCTTTGCTTGTAACATCTCACCACAGACCACATACAAAAAGCAAATCTTGTGATGTTGTGTTTGTGTTTGTTGCTGTGGAGATGTGTTTTCCTAGCTGTTGCCCAGAAAAGGCCCTGGCATGTTTGCCCATCTCGCGGTTGTTGCATAGCGATGGCTCTACTTGCTACTTTTCTCCCTCCTTTAGGCTATTCATCCTGAATGGCCTACAAGTGTACTGCCATTCATTCTTTTCTGAAGCCTGTGCTTGGTCTCACTTTTCTCCCTGTTGCTCAGTTCTCACAGAGATTACTCTCCAACTGCTCCTGCTTCTCCCACCTTAAGGCCACCCATCCCTAGCGACTCCCTGATAGGGTACCAGTCAATCCAGGTGTACCTAAACCAGCCGGTGCTCCTACATCTCTGGCTCTTAATATGTGTGCAGTCTCTTTTTCCTTTTCAGATGGGACCGACAAATAATTATGGGATGTAAGAAGGGCATACAGAATTCTTGTCAGTAAACTTGAGGGAAGAGGTCATGTGAGATGTGTAGGTATAGGTAGATAATATCAAAATGGGTCTTAGATAAATAGGGTGTGGTGTTGGTGATTGGAGTGAAATGGCTAAGGATGATGCCAACCCTTAGACTTCTTAAAAACATAAGAATCTTGATTGGATTACTAACTATCTTACTATCGAAATTAAATTTCTATGGAATAACTGGCAAATCTAATGAATGGATCAAATCATACCTCAAAAACAGGTATCAAAGAGTTGAAATAAATAATAAAAACTCCAGTCATAATGCATTTTCAAACTGGGGAATTATAAAGCACGGTGTTCCACACGGATCAATTTTAGGTCCCTTACTTTTTCTTCTCTACATGAATAATCTATCTAAAACCATCAACAATAAATCTAAACCAATTCTATATGCAGATGACACTAGTATAATATTTAAGAACTCTAAATTTGAAAACTTTAAAAATGACATAAATATTGTATTTGAAGCCTTAAACAGATGGTT